CTTACACCCCCCCCCCTGCCTACCCCCCTCCGCAAGGCCCGCCGGCGTCGGTCCCACAGCCTCTCTGCCTAAACTCACACAGGTCCTGTACATGTCACAGAAGAACCGCAGCATCCGCCACAAGCTGGTCTCGCTCACCCTCAAGAGGAAGAACAAGCTCGGGGACGACGTGAGGCGGAGGCTGCAGGAGGACGAGTACACGGCCGAGAGCTACTCCTCGTGGCTGGACTCGAGGCCGACCTCCAACCTCGAGAAACTGCACTTCATCATCGGCCACGGCATCCTCAGGGCCGAGCTCAGGTTCGTCGCTTTATCCCTTTTTTCTGTGTCTTCCGCTTCTACTTCTTCCTTTTTCTGCTTCTTCCGCTTCTACTTCTTCCTTTTTTTCTGCTGCGTCTTTTCCGTCTTTTACGTCTGCTCCTACTTACTCTTCTGCTCTTCTCTCTTCTTCGCCTTCTTCCTCTTTTTCCCTGAACGCCAACTACACATTATGGATCGAGGTTTATTCATTCCCACTCCCATCTCCCTCACAGTGCATTCAACACTCACGTTCTTCGTTATTAGTCTTAATTACATATTTCTAATAGTTATTGAACGCCAACGACACATGTTGCATCGTGAGTTATTCATTCCCACTCGCATCTCCCGCTCATCCCGCGCATTCACCCCCCCCCCTCCTGTCCTCCCGCCAGAGACGAGATCTACTGCCAGATCTGCAAACAGCTGAGCAACAATCCTTCTAAATCCTCCCACGCCCGCGGATGGATCCTGCTGTCCCTGTGCGTGGGATGCTTCGCGCCCTCCGAGGACTTTGTCAAGTACCTGCTGTCGTTCATCCGCGAGGGCCCCCCCGGCTACGCCCCCTACTGCGAGGAGAGACTCAAGAGGACCTTCGCCAACGGCACCAGGAACCAGCCGCCCAGCTGGCTCGAGCTGCAGGTGCGCGGCGGGCGGGAGGGAAAGGCCTTTAGGGCGCTGTTTATGTTGCTGTGATTTTGTTTTTTTATATGTATATATTCTCTAAGATCCTCTCTCTTTCTATCGATCTATCTACACACACGCACACACACACACACACACACACACACACATACATACATACTTATACATACATACATACATACATGTGTATCTATATCATTCCCTCTCTCTGTATCCATCCATCTATCTGTCTCTAACCCCATTATTTGCCCCCCCCCCTCCCGCAGGCGACCAAGTCCAAGAAGCCCCTGATGCTGCCCATCACCTTCATGGACGGCAACACCAAGACGCTGTACGCCGACTCGGCCACCACGGCGCGCGAACTCTGCAACCAGCTGTCGGACAAGATCTCGCTCAGGGACCAGTTCGGATTCTCGCTCTACATCGCGCTTTTTGATAAGGTAGGGTGGAGTGAGTGTGTGTGAGTGTGTGTGTGTGTGTGTGTGTGTGTGTGTGTGTGTGTGTGTGTGTGTGTGTGTGTGTGTGTGTGTGTGTGTGTGTGTGTGTGTGTGTGTGTGTGTGTGATTTAGATATGCACACGTGTGTTTATAAGTATACGGAATCATCATACTTCATGCTTCAACTGTTCCCATTCCTCAAACTCCGTCTCATTTGACGTCGTCACCAATATACCCATAACTCATACCTTTAAAAGCTCGTCCTTTTCGCCATCGCCATCGTCCTCACCCCCCCCCCCCCTCCTCCTGCAGGTGTCGTCCCTGGGCAGCGGCGGCGACCACGTGATGGACGCCATCAGCCAGTGCGAGCAGTACGCGAAGGAGCAGGGTGCGCAGGAGAGGAACGCCCCCTGGAGGCTCTTCTTCAGGAAGGAGATCTTCGCCCCGTGGCACGACCCCACCGAGGACCCCGTCGCCACCAACCTCATCTACCAGCAGGTGAGCGGCTCCTTTCGAACCGCGTTTCATTTGAATATCTTCTGCGAGATAATGGGAATAATATTCTGATAGCATTACAATATGGGTGATTGATCGATAGAATCATACATTTGAATTAGCTTTTTACACTGGAATTATAACCTCGCCCAAATGAACAATAACGAAATAAGCAACACCAAATCGTGGAACAACTCTCAACCAAGTCGCCCCCTCCCCCTCCCCCCCAGGTGGTCCGCGGCGTGAAGTTCGGCGAGTACCGCTGTGACAAGGACGAGGACCTGGCCATGATCGCGGCGCAGCAGTACTACATCGAGAGCGGCAACGACCTCAACACCGACCGCCTCTTCAACAACCTGCCCAGCTACATCCCGGACTACTGCGTCTCCTCGGGCGACAAGGCGATCGACCGCTGGGCCGGCCTCGTCGTCGCCGCCTTCAGGAAGAGCTACTACGTCAAGGAGCGCGTCCAGCCCCTCAGGGTCAAGGAGGACGTCGTGAGCTACGCCAAGTTCAAGTGGCCGCTGCTCTTCTCCAGGTTCTACGAGGCCTTCAGGTGAGTCCTTGGGAGGGTAGGGACTGTGGCGAGTGGAGGGAGGCCGAGAAGAAATGAAGAAGGGAGGAGGGATGAAAAGATAAGAGAGGAGGAGGAAAGAGAGGGAAAACAGGGATAGCAGTAGGGGGGAAGAAGCAGTAGAGGGCGGAGGAGTTGAAGGAGGGTGATAATAACCCGGCCTCGTGAGCTGAGACGGTGAAGAAGAGGAATCGAAGAAAAGGGAGAGAGGGAGGAGAGGCAAGGGAGGAAGGGAGAAGATGGGAGGTTATATGAGTTGGTAAGGGAAAAAATAAGAAACCGAATGAAGGATGAAAGGGGTGCAAAGGGGGAGGGGGGAGTGGAAGGAAAAGGAGGGTAATAAGGAGAGGTGAAAGATGACAAGAGAAGGGGGGGACACGTAGGAGATTGAAAGAAGAGAAAGGGGAGGTAGAAAAAAAGGTAGTGGTAAAGAAGAGAAGAGAGACGACAAAGGGGAGGTAGAAAGAAAGGTAATGGTAAAGAAGGGAAGAGGGAAGAGAAAGGGGAGATAGTTAAGGGAGTGGGTGAGAAAAGAGTATGCTCATGAATCACACACAGCCACGAGAGTCGGCCAAAACCACTTACAGGTTACGGGTTGCCATAACCAGGCGAATCACACGAGAAATACCTCACTCATTCCTCATCTTAACAACCATTGACTAAATAACCTAAAAAAACTTCACTCATTGTTCTTCTCAAACCCCCAAAATAAAAGAAACCAAGTACACCCTCTTTTCGAAACAAACAACCTCTATGAGTTACTCATTCTTCTTAGACCAAAAAATAAACATTCCATCCCCTGGAAACCCCACAGATACTCCGGCCCCAACCTGCCCAAGAACGACGTGATCATCGCCGTGAACTGGACGGGCGTGTACGTGGTGGACGACCAGGAGCAGGTCCTCCTCGAGCTCTCCTTCCCCGAGATCACCACCGTCTCCTGCAGCAAGACGCAGAAGGTGTACACGCAGACGTTCACGCTGTCCACCGTCCGGGGCGAGGAGTTCACGTTCCAGTCGCCCAACAGCGAGGACATCCGGGACCTCGTCGTCTACTTCCTCGAGGGCCTCAAGAAGAGGTCCAAGTTCGTCATTGCGCTCCAGGACTACAAGGCGCCGGGTAAGAAACGAATGAATAATCAATGAAGTCAACCGACTATGCAGTAAAAAAAAGAACATTGCAAATAACAGATAAAAAGTTTTTAATAAAATTCAACGATTTTTTTTAATGAAATTAATAATCAAATCCCACCTCTTCCCTTCCCCTCCCTCCTTCCTTCCTGCAGGCGAGAACTCCTCCTTCCTGACCTTCAGCAAGGGCGACCTGATCCTGCTGGAGGAGGACTCTTCCGGCGAGACCGTGATGAACGCGGGCTGGTGCGTGGGGCGCTGCGAGAGGACGACCGAGCGCGGAGACTTCCCGGCCGAGACTGTCTACGTGCTGCCCGCCGTCACCAAGCCGCCGCCGGACATCCTGGTGGGTGGGGCGCGCCTTCAGGGGGGATTTTCGTTCTTTTTTCTATCGTTCCTTCTTTCTTTTAACCATTTTTTTTTCTTTCGTTCGTTCTTTCTTTCATCCATCTTCTTTTCTTTCGTTCATTCTTTCTTTCATTTTTTTGTCTTTTCGTTCGTTTTTTTCATTCTTTTTTGCTGATTCTTTCTTTATTTATTTCTCTCTTAGTTTCATTCATTCTTTCTATCGTTTTATCTCTTTCTGTTTCTTTCGATTTTTTTTTTCTTTTTTTTGTTATTCGGATTCCCTTCTTGGAAGAATTATTCTATTCTCACGAGTTTGATTTCTTTTTTGAGGTGTAATATTGTTATGATATGTTTTATTTGTTTTCTCTATTTTCTCTGTTTTAATCGAGTAACATATTCCAAAAGCACTCACCCCCTCCTCCCCCCTCCCCTAGGCCCTGTTCACCGCCGAGGGAGCGGAGCACGGCCGGAAACTGTTCACTCCGCAGGTGAATGGCTCGGACACCCACGAGAAGCCTCACACGCTGGAGGAGTACGCGCTGGACCACTTCAGGTATGCTGGATGAGGCTGGGTTGTCGGCGGTCCGTTTTCTTAGTAATTTCTGTTGTTATCTGGTATTGTCTGATTTTAATAGATTGATAGATAGATATAAAGAGGTCGATGTAAAACCGTTTTTTTTTACCATCCAGACCGCCACCAAAACGTACGGTATCGCGCGCCATCACGCTGACGTCTGCGCGGCGGCCGTCGAGCGAGTGCCTGTGGAAGTACTCGCGCGACCCCATCAAGCAGCCGCTGCTCAAGAAGCTGCTGCACAAGGAGGAGCTCGCTCAAGAGGCCGTCTACGCTTTCAACGCCATCCTCAAGTACATGGGCGACCTCCCCTCCAGGAGGAACCGCCAGGGCAACGACCTCACCGACCAAATCTTCGACGGCCCGCTCAAGCATGTGAGTTCGAGCGGCAGGGTCTGTGGGCTTTGAAGGGCGCGGAAAGGTTCAGGGAAGGCCCTAAGACGTACAAGGCGATTCCAGTAGGTTGTGAACGGACGCCAAAGAATTCTAGAATGGTCTTAAGAGGTGCTAAGAGGTTTTAGACGAATGCTAAATGATTGTAGGAAATCTTTGTGGTGTTCAGTTCTACGAGAAGTTTTAAAACATTTCAAGAAGAGCTATGAAAATCTTGCAGGTTCCAAGAATTCCTTAGCAGAAATTTAAAAAAAAACAAAGAAAATATTTTAAAAGAGTTTCTGAGATGGAGTAAAACATTCTAAGACAGAACAATGACAACTTTTTTTGAGGATATATATATATTTTTTTTTTCCCTTTTGATATATTTCTTCACTTCATCGCATGTTCCACAAATTCACCACAAACCCCTTTTCTCGCCGCCCACCACAGGAGATCCTGCGAGACGAGATCTACTGCCAGGTGATGAAACAGCTGACAGACAACAGGAACAGAATCAGCGAGGAGCGAGGATGGGAGCTCATGTGGCTGGCGACGGGGCTCTTCGCGTGCTCGCAGAACCTCATTAAGGTTTGCATTTTTTCTATGAATTCCGTTTGTCAGATTTATTATTAGTTTAATTTTCTCTTTGTTATTGTTATTATTTCGAGGAAGAGTCGGGGTCATTGGTTTTACGGGAAGTTTGCATGTAGGTGTGTGCGATTTGGAGAGGCAAAGAGGAAGCTGAAGTAGAATATATGTATGTGTGTGCATTTTGGATATCATTCATATAAGAGAAAGGATAATAATAAAGTAAAACCTAAATAACTCGTCATTTCTCGGACTCTGAGCAACCACCCAACCAAACCACACGTAATACAAGACCAGCATCCTCTCTTTTCTTTCTCCTTTAATTCCCACCACTTTTATCAGCCTTCCTTCACTCGCCCCTTTCCATCCCGACCAGGAGCTGACCCAGTTCTTGAGGACGCGACGCCATCCCATCGCCCAGGACTCCCTCCACCGGCTGCAGAAGACGCTGAAGCAGGGACAGAGGAAGTACCCGCCGCACCAGGTGGAGGTCGAGGCCATCCATCACAAGACCACGCAGATCTTCCATAAGGTGAGGCGTTTGTTGATTTAGTTTCGTTGCGTTTATTACTTTCTTTGATATGGATATTTTAGACTTTTTTCATGTTTTTTTTTCGAGCATTTATTTCCTGTTTTAGCTCGAAACTATTCGTATCAGACAGGACTAAAGAGTAATTCAAATTCTCGTCACCTCCCTCCACTTCCCTCGTTTCTCTTGTCTCCCTTCTCCCGCCTTTCGTTTCCACCTCTCGTTTCGCCCACCTCCCCTTGTTTCCTCTTGTTTCCCTCTTCCTTTCTCTACTTGCCTTGCATCTCCCCGATCACTTCCTTCTCACCCTATTCTCTCTCTCCTTTTCCCTCTCTCCCTCCTTCCACTTCCCCTCTAACCCGCCTCTCTCACCCATCCCCTTCCTCTTACCTTCCCCTCCGCCTCCCTCCCCCCTTTTCCCCCGCAGGTCTACTTCCCCGACGACACTGACGAGGCCTTCGAGGTGGACTCCTCGACGCGCGCCAAGGACTTCTGCGCCTCCATCGCCCACCGCCTCAACCTCAAGAGCTCCGAAGGCTTCTCGCTCTTCGTCAAGATCGCCGACAAGGTGATCTCCGTGCCTGAGGGAGACTTCTTCTTCGACTTCGTGCGCCACCTCACCGACTGGATCAAGAAGGCGCGGCCCTCCAGGGATGGTGAGGGACCCTTTTATTCCCTTTTGATCTCTCCTGTTTTGTTTATGTTTTTTATTTTTTCTCGCTCAGGAATGGACAGAGTTATTGATGTTTTGTTTAAATGCTTACGGATTTTCTTTTTCTTTCTTTTTTTCTAGGAAATTATCATTTTCTGTCTTTTCTTCTTTGTCATGAACCTTCCGCTCTCTCCTCCCCCAGGCACGACGCCGCACTTCACATACCAGGTGTTCTTCATGAAGAAGCTGTGGACGAACACGGTGCCCGGGAAGGACCGCAACGCCGACATCATCTTCCACTTCCACCAGGAGCTTCCCAAACTCCTTAGAGGCAAGTTATTGTTTTTTTTTCAATCATAGTGTTTTTGTGTCGGTATGTGATTGTTAGTCGCATTTTATTTTTCTGGAACTTCTTGTCACCCAATTTCTCGTTATATATCTTTTTATTTATCGACTCGTTCATTAATCATTCATCAACCATTTATTTACTTGTTTATTCATTCATCCTTTTCTTACCAGGTTATCACAGATGCACGAAGGACGAAGCGGCCCGGCTCGCGGCGCTTGTCTACCGAGTGCGCTTCGGCGAGAGCAAGCAGGAACTCGCCCATATCCCGTAAGGCTTCCTTTAATTATGCTCTTGGTATTTGTGTTCATTTTTGTAACGATTTTATTGTTAACGTTTTTATTTGTGTTATTTACTGAAGTTAGTTTCGCTGGGGGAGAATAATTATTATATTTTCTGTATTTAGGAGTGGAGATAGTGATTAGTTTTTTTATCACCATTGTTATTGTTACCAATACTATTACCATCTCACCGCAGAACAATGCTGAGGGACCTGATTCCCGCCGACCTGGCCAAAGCCCAGAGCACCAACGAGTGGAAGCGCGTCATCGTACAGCATTACAACAATGACGCAGGTAACGGGGGCTGCTAAGTGTATATTCCAGGGGGTCTTGTTTTTGTTACTTGCTGAATTTGTATTACTTTTAGGTTCATTGGTTTTATGGTGGTTATCGATTATAAGTTTATGATTTATGAAAATTATACGTTGTATTTATTTTTTAGTTATATTAATGGGTTGATTTCAACATTCGTTTAGTTTCACATTTTACGTTAAGTGATTCATCATTTGGTGGATTTTTAAATATTGGTTCCGCCCCCCGCCCCCCACTCAACCTCACTAACCCCCCCCCCTCTTCCACGCCCCAAGGCATGAGCCCCGAGGAAGCCAAGATCGCGTTCCTGAAGGTGATCTACCGCTGGCCCACCTTCGGCTCGGCCTTCTTCGAGGTCAAGCAGACGACGGACCCCAACTACCCCGAGCACCTCCTCATCGCCATCAACAAGCAGGGCGTCTCGCTCATACATCCTGTCTCGAAGGTGGGGCATTTATTGTTTATTTATCTTTCCTTTTTTAGTTTTGGTGTTTTAGGAGTTTGTTGGGATGATTTGATTAATGGTTAATGGTCATAACAAATAAATGTGCTGGATATCCAATGTTATATAGCATTATGGTAAAGTGTTGTGGTGAAAAGGGTAAACATGAGTTAACGAGTAGGATAAGTGGACAGTAGAAGGGGGTGGAGAAGAGGACGACAACGAGCAAGGGATTGTGGGATTCAAGTTGATTTTGATTTTTATGGGAAAGTGTGTAAGATTCAAGGTGAAAACTCACATAGATAGACAGAGATGGAATTAATATAGTAATAATAATAATAATAATAACAATAATAACAATAATGATAATAATAATTAAGGCAGTAAGGTTCTCTCCCCTTTACAAGTTATCCACATTCTGAAAACGGATCCTCCTTGCACATGCACTGACTCTCGCCCTCCGTGTTCCCCCCCCACAGGAGATCCTCGTGACCAACCCGTTCACCAGAATCAGCAACTGGTCCTCGGGCAACACGTACTTCCACATGACCATCGGCAACCTGGTCCGGGGCTCCAAGCTGCTGTGCGAGACTTCCCTAGGCTACAAGATGGACGATCTGCTGACGTCATACATCTCCCTTATGTTGACCAATATGAATAAACAAAAGACTCTCAGGCTCAAATAGGACATGGGGAGAGTTAGGATAATTAATTATTAGGGTTGATGTTATTTTTTTTTTTTTTCAAAGAAAAATATGAATACTTTTTAAATTGTCGTAGGAAAGTTGATATTTTTTATTTCAATTTATCCCTGTAGCAATTAACCAAGAAAAAAGTATTATTGGGTTAGGTCATATATGCATACATGCATTGTGTTTATATATGCACACCCATAGGCATACATTCTCTTATAAGAAAACTTGATTTTCTACTTTCAAAAAAAGGCTTCCAGATTTTAAAGTCTAGTGAAAAAACTTTATTCCTGCCATTACACGTTTCTATTGTGCAATGTACAACTTTTCTTCCACATTTAGTATGCAAAATTCGAA